GGCGTGCAGTCTTCCCCTGGTGCCATCCTGCCCCAAACCTCCTTGCCTCACAGAACACACTGCCCCCTCACCTGCGGCCAAGGAAGCTTTGATGTAAAAAATGTATGCTTTCCTTTTTCAATTATTGTTATTATTTTGGTACTAGTGAGTTAGGTCATGGGTTACAGAGCTACATCCCTGACTCTTTTTCTGCTTTATTTTGAGAAAGGGCCTTACTAAATGGCTCAGGCGGGGCTTGAGTTTGCTATCTTCCCACCTCAGCCTCCCCAGTAGCTGGGAATACAGGCCTACACTACAGTGCCTGGCTCTTTACTCAAATTTTTGCTATAAAAGTGCTTCTGGGGCCGGGGATTTAGCTCAGTGGTTCTGCTGCCCTCCTCACAAGCACAAGGACCTGAGTTCAACCCCCGGTACCAAATAAAAGTGCTTTTGGCTATTAGGTTGAGTGGATAGATTTCCAAATGCCATTAAGTCTTGCTGCAGGGCGTGTAGGGAACTTGTGCCAGGATCTGCCTTTTCTGAAGAGCATCTACAACAGTTCAATAAACGCTTTTATTTCAGGGATCTCTGATAGCCTCAAGAGTTTGGTTACAAACCTCAAAAAGCTTGAGGGAGGGGTTAACAATGTGGACATAGTTAACCCACAGAGCTCTATATTCAAAATGGTTAAAGTGTAAATGCGGGGAGGAGAGCCACCTATGTGAATAAGTTTAAATATCAATTAGTGGAATGATTTGAACAATAATAATAACTGCACATTTATATCAGAACAAAACTTTCAGAAATGTATTTATTTTTTGGTGCCAGGGATCAAACTCAGGTCCTCGTGCTTGCAAGGCAGGTGGCAGAACAACTAAGCTAAATCCTCAGCCTCAGAAATATATTTAAATAAAAATAAAATGTGAACAGGGTTATAGTTCAGTGGTGGAGCACAGGCTTAGTGTGCATGAAGCCCAGGGTTCAACTCCCACACCAAAACATAAATAAGTAAAATAAAAGTGTTCAACATGGTACATTTAAGCTTGTTTTTCAACTTGGTTTTTTGTTCCATGCTTGCAATCCCAGCATTCTGGGAAGTTGAGGCAGGAGGATCACAAATTCTAGCCCAGCCTAGATAATTTAGTGACATAGCAAAACCCTGCTTCAAGGGCTGGGGATTTAGCCCAGTGGTTCCATCCCTAGCTTCAAAAGCACAAGGACCAGAGTCTGATCCCCAGTACCAAAAAAACAAAACAAAACAAACAAAAAAAAACCCTGCTTCAAAACAAACAAACAGGAAGGGGGTGTGGAGCTAAAGATGTAGGTCAGTGCAGAGGTCCTAGGTTCAGTCCCTCAGTACTGCTCTCCAAAAGAGAAATTTTGTGTAATGTATATTTTACAATAATAAATTTAATATTAATCAATGTCAATAAAACTGATATATTTTAAGCTGGGCATGGTGGCACACCCCTGTAATTCCAACACTCAGGAGGCTGAGGCAGGAAGATCACTGTGAGTTCGAGACCAGCCTGGGCTACACAGTGAGTTTCAGGTCAGTCTCAACTATATAGTGAGACCCTGTTACAAAAAAACAAAACCAAAAGCCAAAAAACAAAAAAACCCAAAGCTAATATATTTTAAAAATTCAATAAGCCAGGCACAGTGCATATGCCTGTCATTCCAGCACTCTGGGAGGCTGAGGCAGGGGGATTGCAAATTTGAATCTAGTCTGGAGAATTTAGCAATTTAGTGAGATACTGTTTCAAAATTTAAATTTTTTAAAAAAAGTTAAAGAGGTTTGGGGATGTACCTCAGGCTCTTCAATACCCACAAGCACAAAAATCAAATCAAGCAATCAACCTGTACTATTCCACAAGTATTAAGGGTCTAGTAGGGCTGAGGTGCTCCCTAGGGGCTGGGGCCGAGTGCCAGGAGCACAGGCCTGTGTGATCCCTTAGGGGGGCAGACACTGAACAATGAATGATTTCTTTCCTTGGATAAGTGCTGTAAGGGAAGAGGCGCAGGGTGCGGGAGGCCTGTCATGGGGGAGCCTGAGGGCCTTCTGCTAGGGTGCAGTGTGGCCCACCTTCCCTGGGGTCTTTCCTGAGAAGGAGAAACTTCAGTTTCTGGCAGGCCCACGGTTTGGAGTTTTCCTTCCCAGGCAGCGGCACCTACCCTGTGTTGCTCCTGGTGCCTCCCCGCTCCCTGTGTAATCAGTGCTCCATGCCGAGCTCTCCCAGGGCTGTGCTGCTCCTCTGCAGTGCTTCTTCACTGGTCATGGAATGCTGCACCGCTGGGTGCTCAAGTCCTAAGCTGGAGCTTGAGCGACTTTATCTGTCACATGTGGCATCGGGGTCCTCAGTGCCTGGCACAGGGCCTTGTGGTGGGTCAATGAGCGAGGATGAATGAGGAGGTTTGGGCTGAGCAGGACTCAAACCGAGGCCATAGGAGCCTGCTGGGGAGGGCGATGAGGGAAGCAGGCTGGCTGAGAGGCGAGGAGGGGTGGAGGGACTGGGGAAGAGCTTTCCACAGCTGGTTCTACCCAGGGGGCTCATTTAGAACTACGATTCCAGGGCCGGGGATTTAGCTCAGTGGTTCGGTGGCCTGCCTTGCCAGTGCAAAGACCCAAGTGCAATCCCCGGTCCAAAAAAAAAAAACCAACCAAACAAACAAAAAAACAACTACGATTTTAGTACTCTGCTACATTCCATGACAAAATGGAGTTACTTGGGAGATACCTGTTCAGTAATATCTACCTGGGCCGCTCAGGCTGGTGCACAGGTGTGTGCCTGTAGTTGCAGCTACTCAGAGAGCTGAGGCAGGAGGTTTGTTTGAGCCAGGAGTTTGATATCAGCTTTGGCAACAAAGTGAAACCCTGTCTCAACACAACACCTCATGTGTGCAGATCTATGAGCTCAGCTAAAAATGGAAGGAGCAGGAGCCCGAGGGAGAGGAGGAAGAATAGGGGGAGAAAGCATTTCAGGGCAACTGAAGAGACGGTTCAGATTGAAGAGCGAATAAACTCCCTAAATCCAGTGTCAAAGTATAAACTGGCCCCAGGGCCCCTGTATCTCCCTTAGGTCTCTCTGAGAAGCCTCGAGATCAAGCTAATTCTGTAACAGTACCAGGACTTTATTTCCCTTCTTCACTATGTTGACATCGGGTAAAACTGCTGCCTTCGCACAGACCTAGGCAGAGATGCCAAAGCTCAGGGGTCTCCCCCGCTGCCAGGCACTTGCAATAAAAAAAGAAGAAAAAAATTAACACTAGTTTTACTGAAGAATGCCCTTGATGAAATGGTGCATATTAATTTCATTAAATCACAACTTTTGAGGACAATGTGCTGTGGAAAGAGAAGTAGCCACAGGCATGTGTGACACAAAGGGGCACAATGGTTGCACAAGCAGAAGAATGTGTGTTAATTGCTGCTGTTGCAAGCTGGACTCCGCTCGTTTTTTCAGCATGGGGAAATGGCACTGTCACACTTTTTTTTTTCTTCTTTTTCTCTGTGGTCTTGGGGATTGAAATCAGGGCCTTTCCACTGAGCTACATCCCAAGCCCTTTTTAATTTTTTATTATTTTGAGACAGTTTTGGTAAGTCATTAAGTTATTCCAGCTGGGCTCAAACTTTTCTTTTCTTTTCTTTTTTTTTTTGGTACCAGGGATCGAACTTGGGTCCTTGAGCTTGCCAGGCAGGCAGCGGAACCACTGAGCTAAATCCCTAGCCCGGGCTCGCACTTTTGATCCTCCCACCTCAGCTTCCCAGAGCGTTGGGATAACCAGTTTATGCTCCACACCTGGCTGCCCAGGCACCTTCCAGTGATCACTTGGCTGTGTATGGAGGTTGTCCTGGAAAAAGGCTGCTTGGAGAGGCCAGGACCAATGTGGAGGCAGGAGCTGCAATATGGGCAAAGGACAATGGCGGCACCCTGGGTTGGAGTGGGAGTCCTGGTGCAGAGTTACCTGGGTGGGTTTCAGAGGCATTTTTCAATGGTCACGTCCACAGGAAGTGGGAACTCTGAGAAGCAGTACAGGCATGTTAAGTTGTCTTGGGCCAGGTTGTAAGACTCGTGTCTCACTTTTACTCCTGGAGCGTGAACAGCCAAGAGGCCTTCACGATGCTGGGCTCAGCAGCTCAGCGAGGCTCCAGGAGCTTGTCCGATAGCGAGAGTCACCCAGGAAGGAACACACCAGGCAAGTTGGCTAATAGACCTTTATTAGTCTGGCCAGACGGCACTCCCCAAGCCAAGTAGCTCAGAGAGGCGGCCAGCTAAGAAACAGAGGCCATTTTATATAGGGCTGAAAAGGGGGGTTTACACTTAAAACTTACAGGAAAAGGACAAAGGCAAAGAGTCAGTTGATCTGAGCTAGTGGTCGTCATGTACTAATGATCAGCAGAGTGATTATCCATTGTTCCATTTGCAACCTAGATCATCATAAAGTTCAGAACATTCAGACTACAGGCATGCAAGGAGTGGCGTGACCTGCCTTGGGTCTCTGTGTTCACTACAGTTTCTACCTAGTTTCCTAGCTACTTCAAAACAGCCACCTAACAATTCACAATTAATCATTAGTTATCCTGTAAGGGATGGGGGGGGAGCGACAGTCTCTAGGTTGTTTGCTGATCAAGATGGAGTCGCTCTGGTTCAGCCAGGCTCCCACAAGGTGACTGCGAGGTCCTGTGGGCGGATGTGAATCCACGTGGGGCGCTCACAAGAGACAGCTGGAAAAAAGCCCTGGGGCACAGGAAGCTCTCCAGCCCTCCCTGCCATGCTGGGCCACCTAGAACATCTTTGGAACCTGTAGCCTGTAAAGCCTGCTGGGCACATGTTCTCCCACTGCTTTACCCCAGCGCCAGGCTCTATCTGCCTGTGTCAAGAGCTCGGTCTTTTTCATCCCGGACACAGGCTGTGAGGTTCTGGGCTCCGGCAAGATGCTGCTCAACTCTTTTTCCCATGACCTTGCCATTTTTACTTCAACATTTTCCCCAAGAGCTGGGGCGTGGGAGGGGTGACCCCAGGCCCAGGTGGTGACGTTGGGGGCCGGCCCAGGCCTGGAGCTGGAGGAGCCTTGCCACTCTGCTTCCTGTCTCTTCATTTAAGAACATCTCTGCAGCAGTAACAAAGCCCTCTCCCCTGGGTGACAGCCCCACACCCTCACATCTGTTCGAGGAGCAAGAGGAAGAAAGACAGGCTTGGAGGTAAGAGGTGCCCACTTGGGCCTCTTTCCTTTACAGGGAGCTGGGAAGGGCTGTAAACATGGCGCTGGGCGCTGAGAGCTGGACTCAGCTGTCTGCCCGCAGCCCTGGCCACCGTCTCTTGCTTTTCTCTCGGAACTGGTCCTAGGCAGCCATGGGGAATGTGACTAAGCTTCTGGAGGCCAGGGCTACCCACGCTCCTCTCTGCGTCCCCACCAGGCTCAGATCCTCACAAGAATGGAGAAGGTCCAGGGCAGCAAGGCGGCGGAAGTCATGGGACAGGGGATGGGGTGAAGCCCCAAAGAGAAAGAGCAGAAAAGGAGCTGCTTCTAGAAAGAAGCAGAAGGAGGAGAAAAATGGCAAAAGCAAGAAAAAGAGAATGAGAAGTGGAATGTAGTCGAGAGACGGTTCTCCCAGAATTAATTTCTGCAGTGACACAACTACTAAAAGTTCACACTTCCAATCACACCTGGAGCGTTTAAGCCACACAATTTATGTAGCCTCTCTTCACTCTTCTGTGTTTATGTGTGTTTTAAAATTTATCTCTACTTTGGTGCATTTTTGGAATTTTTAAATAGTACATCTAAAGGCACTGCTACTTCAGTTAGCTTAATTAAAGAAATAGAAAGCTCAAATTCTCAAAAAGTATTGAAACCGAGCTCTTATGAAATACTGAAAAGGA